CATCATATTTAACTCATTCATAACATAGTAAGCAAAAGCATATAAACATTATAATGCATATGCAATGAACACGAATTACATGTTATCATGCATATGACGCTAGTAAAAACATCACTTATTATACTTGTGCATTACTGATAGCAACACACTAGCTAGAGTAGTCTAAGAGTACATGTTGAGTTACATCCTCTGCACACTCTCACTAGAAGAACATATTATCAGGGTTTGGTTAGGATAGTTAAGTCGTGCAAGATACATCTCATGCTCACGAAGGTAAGATAGGGACTTCCAAACCGAGTTATCCCCAAGGTTGGCTCCCAAACTTTTACACAAGGAACCTTTCCTGATTTCACATCATACCCTTAAAAAACACTTTTATATATGCACATGATGCATATATCAAACAAACTTTATACATATCAAACAGACTTTATGCATGACATTTCACATGATCTCATTAATTCACTATCAATTAATCTCATATCATAAAATCACCAATCATTCTCAATATAGAAATTAACAATTCAACTATATCAATTAAATATTAGAAATCAAGGACATAAGGGATCACATCACTATAACTCATACATAGCTCACAAGCATATTAATAGCTCATTCACGTGCTACATTTCCATAACATAATCTTCTACAATATCGCCTGATCCAAACACCTTAGCTAGAGCTATATATATGCAATTAAGTTGATCCTAATTTTATTATAAAGTTAAGACAATTATCTCCAACTTTTATGTTGACCTTAAGAGCTAATTATACCATCCACTATTTTAAATGAATACAAAACCTTAACATTTCAGTCTAAATTTGACAATTTGACACTTGTTAACTAATTTGATCATAACTTGAATTGTAGACCTCTTTTTTAGGTAATTTTAACAACATTTGAAAGCTAACATCTAGGGTTACAACTTTTATGAAGATCACAAAAGCCAATCCAGCCATCTACTCACTTAAGCAAGTCAATCTTTTACTTAAGCAAGATTAGTTTTCTTAAAGCAAGCATTGAGTAAGATCAACTTACTCAAAGCTAGATAAAACTCGCTTGAAACAAGCACCACCTGAAACTCTCTGTCAAGTCTTGCTTGAGCTAGCCTAAATTCGCTTGAAATTAGATAAATTTTCTTAGAGCGATACTAAGGTTGCTTGAAGCAGGATACGTCAGTCTCAAATGTGAAATTACATTGTTTATGGGTATCTAACCTTCCCAACACCATTCCCTAACATGTCCAACCTAAACCTAATCGGTAAGAACTCTCTACAGGTTATGTTACACTTCTAAAAGACATAATTTACACATAGATACATGCTCACTTCATCTTCTCATATTACCACTAATGCATTCCTTTAGAGTTTCCCACAAGAACCCACAGAAGAACTAAAATAAACAATTACAGGCCAAACTAAAAAATTGCCAACACCTTCATATTAATTACATCAATTAGATCATACAAGAAGAAACGAAGAAGATAAAGACACATTTGGGGAAAACTCCCTCATACATAGACATACCACGAAAATAGGATTGGGGGTCAATCCCCTAGCATACATTCTCATACCTGGAGTGAGATTTCTGACTTCTCCTTACCTAGATAAGCTCTAGATGACAATTGCACGCCTCCGGGGTGATTTCCTCCCTACTTATGTTCTCCCAACGCTAAAGCGCACGTGTAAAAAAAAAACAAAAACAAGAGGTGTAAAAGAGTTTAACTATGGGTTATTTTGAAAATCTCTTCCCTTATTTAATAAAATATTATAATATATTTTTAATAAATATCATATAATATATTATAAAATATATTATATAATTAAAGGAAATATTAAACAACTTCAATTAATAAAATGAAAATACTAAAATTATTAATAAAATATATTTTATGAAAAATGGGATGTTATATTTAACATAGGGATTGTAGATTCAATACCCACTTGGTTTTGCGAAGCATTTTCTATGGTTGACAATTTAAACCTCTCACATAATCATATCCATGGTCGGATTGCAAAATCATTGAAAAATCTAATATCTTTTGAATGCTTTGATTTAAGCTCAAATAATTACTTGCTTGAAAAATTACTAGATATTTCTAATCATGTTTCCGGTAAGAGGCTAACAGCTAAACCTTTGGAGAATGACTCTTCCATATATGGTTAATTTTTTCCCTGTGTTTAATGGAATATAGTATTATGTTGGGTTATTTTTTCTATCATGTTTGATTATTTTCCTATTCTAAATTTAAGATGTAATTGTTTCTCGTGAATCCCAATGATGCATTGAAATGAATTATTTTTGTTATTTTCATATTATGTGATTATTTTTTTTGCTTATCTCTTTTAATTATAAGTGTGTAATCAAACTTTTTTCAATAAAAGAACCTTCAATTAATTGAATCTTGAAATATATAATAAAAATTATTTTTAGTTTTCTATTGAATTAATTTATTAATTTGCTTATATATTTTTATGTTTTATTTACAAATAAACTTATTACAATCAATCTAGGATTTTGCTAAGGCAAAGATTATTGACTTCCTAGTTCAAGGGTTGTCATCAAAGATTTCAAAAGTAAAATCGCGATAAGGTTTTATAATTCATGAAATACATCTTAGGACGATCGGACACAATAAACCACAACTTAAAAACTTTTATCTTTGAATTTAATTAATAACGTTTTTTCACTTTCTACTTTTAATTCTTGAATTCATACTCTCTCAAATCAAATTATATTTAGCAAATTGTTAAAAGTTATAATTAAGTTGGTAATTACTTAGTATTTTAAATTTGATATGTAAATCTTAATTAATAATGTTTTTTCACTTTCTACTTTTAATTCTTGAATTCATACTCTCTCAAATCAAATTATATTTAGCAAATTGTTAAAAGTTATAATTAAGTTGGTAATTACTTAGTATTTTAAATTTGATATGTAAATCTTATTTCCTGTTACTACTGTGATAAGATATGATTATTTTAAGCACATTTTATATGCCATAACTAGCTTTCAGTGACATGGATGGATGCTTATTTCAAATTTTTGGAGATATGAAAGACCGGGAAGGTTGACGCTCTTGGGAAATCTATCCTGCTATGATTATTTATTGAGGTATTCACTGAATTGTAGTATATTATTGTTTCGCTACCCATTACCAAATATAAAACTGAAGTTGTTTATATTTTAAATAATTAAATTCAAGAAACCTTAATCTAAACAAAGAAATATGGTTATAAAGTATCTCTTTCCATTCACACCATAAGAAATATTATATATATTGACATATTAAAATGTTATTGTATAATATATGTATATAGTAAGTATATATTTATTTAACATATAGTTATACACAATTGTAATATTAATTTTAAATGAGATTTAATAACATATTTTGTGTGTTATTATAGTTTATTTTTACATTTTTTTAACCGTATACTAACATATATTATATTTATTGTATGAATAAAATTAGTTTCAATAACATGTATTGTATCACTATAAAGTGTATGTCATTATATAATTATTTTTATAATAACATTTTTTTATTGGAATGATAGACACATGCAACATATAAATATACATTACTTATAAAGTAAGAAGAATAATTTGATATTATGATTTATTTTAGTAAAATTAATATAATCAATAAAAAATAATTATTTATATTGATTTGTGTAATTCTAGTATAAATGTCTTATAATGAGGAGCGAAAAAAAATACCATATTATAAAACTTTCTACCAACATTATATGTTAGTTCTAGTGAAAATGAATTCTTATCCTTTGAATAAAATTTCAAGTTTATAGTTTGGATATAAACAAAATATCGTAAAGAAGGCTCTAATAATGATAATAACTATCTATAAAATCAATGAAAATTTTACATTCATTGCGAGTATAAAAAAGTATTGTGAAATTGTTTCACTTTACTAGAACATTTTGTTAAAAAAAAATATTGTGTTTTCACATTGCGAGTATAAAAAAGTATTGTCAAATTGTTTCACTTTTCTAGTACATTTTATTAAAAAAAATTGTTAGTTTACACAACTTGCTAGGAAGTAGGAGCACTTATATATGGATAAGTTTGTATAATCGTAGAGGGATAAGTTTATTGAAAGAAAAGTCGAATACTCCGTGTGTTGGGAAACACACAAAACGATGTCAATTTCTATTGCAAAACTAGAAAAATAATAAATAAAAAAATAGGTGATAAATAATTTAAAAATAAATATATTTGATTTAATAAAAATATTGAAGAGATAAATAAAAATAACTGAGAAATATAATAAAAATAATTTACTAATAAGTCTCACTTTTTTATTTTATTTTTCTCTTCTTATTTCTCTACAATAAAATGCCGTCACTTTTTATTATTATTTTTTTTTTCTTTTCCACTCTATTTCTTATACACCAAACAAAACTTGAATCACCGTGATCACTCTCAAGCGGGGAAAACTTCTTTTATCTATAGCATATATAGGGAATATTATTTAAAGTGAAAAGGCACCGTGATCACAATAATGAACATTATTTTAGCGTGAAAAGAAATATATTAAACACGTAATTCAATAATATAAAAAATACAACAGTCAATTTACATGACTATAGCATATATAATTATAATGAACATCATTTTCGATAGTAATAGATTAAACACACTAGTTCAAAGACCAAATAATTAATTCCTTTTGCATGTGATTTAAAATGAAGTACATGATGGAATGACGACAAGAATACAGTGGGAACAGGAAGAATTAAAGACATAAGAAAAGCAATGTAAATTGTGATGAACATACACGGAAATTTACTTAGTTTGACAAGACGAAAGAAAACAAAATAGAGCTTGGAAATGAAGTAGATTTTTTATTTAATTGAAGAAATAATAAAAAAAATGATTTTTAAAAACAACTCTTATCTCATCGTTTCAATGGTATGAAACAGTAATCGTTCTCATTATATATATACCCTTTTGGAGTCTGTGTCCGTAGAATTTGACAATGGCGCAACATGCATCATTCTCTTCTCCTTCTCTATCCAAATACACTTACGATGTGTTTCTTAGTTTTCGAGGTGAGGATACTCGTTATGGTTTCACTGGTAATCTATACAGTGCTTTGAGTCAAAGGGGAATCTTTACCTTCATTGACGATGATGTTCTACCAAAAGGCCAAGAAATCACACCTTCTCTCCGCAAAGCAATACAAGAATCGAGGATGTCCATCGTTATTTTCTCCAAAAACTATGCCACCTCAACTTTTTGTTTGAATGAGCTTGTCCTGATCCTTGAGTGTTACACGAAACAAAACATGTGGATTTTGCCAGTGTTTTATGATGTTGATCCATCACACGTGAGACATCAAAAAGGGAGTTACAAAGATGCGTTTGTACAGCACGAACGTGGAAGATTCAAAGATGATATTGAGAAAGTAAAAAAATGGAGGTTGGCTTTGCGTCAAGTGGCTGATTTGTCTGGTTTGCATTTCAAAATTGGGTAACGCACCTTTTTTATTTTTTATTTTTTATTTTTTTTATTTTTTATTTTTTTATTGTTTCCTCTTTAGTTTATTATTTAAGTAATATGCAATGCATTGAATAGGTTAAACACATAAGTCAATAAAATGAAAAATTAGTAGTACTTTTAATACTTGATTTGAGAGATGATTCTTAGTAATTACATTCGCCAATGAAAGTTAATAAAGATTCCGTTCTAGGAAGAAGTGTTTATGTCTTTGTCTATGTTTTTTTTTTATTTTTTTTTATTTTTAATATCAGTAGTGTTATATGCAATAATATAATAATGAAACTATGCATTTTTTTTTGGGTAGTGATACATCTTTAAAAAAATGGTTAAACACATAGTTGAATAAGAGTTTAATAGTGATATGTTAATAATGTAAAATAATTTTATATTATCATTTAATTACAATTTACATAGAGGATAAATTTGTTAATTTTCATAATAATTATCCTTAAAATCATGTTAACTTTGAATTTTAGTTGGTTAATTGTTTAAAACATACTCGTCAAATAATATGAAAAAGCAGTACTTAAAATACTTGATTTGGGATATGTTTCTTAGGTTACATTCGGTAGAAGTACATGAAAAATTAGTTAAAATCTAAAAAACTAGCAAAAAAAAAAACCTCGTTGGTATAGATAAAAATTGTGAAGCTAACTTATTTAATATCAAGTGTTTGATAAAATTAATTGTTGAATGAGCTGATATAGATATAATATACATAAATGAACATGTTTATATGACATTCTTGTATAAGTTTTAACTTTATTTAATGCATAAAACTATTTCTAGGTAAATATTATTTTATTTTTAATTAATTTACAAATCTTACATTTTTATTACATTTTTTAAGTTTCAATTAATTTTTTATACATGTTGTATATTCTACTATTAACCTTACATTCTATATTAACATATTGTCAATGAAGTTCAAAATATAATATAAATATAGATGTTATAATATTTATTATGTTTATTTGTATGTATTAGTTTTAGCGTACAAATTGATTATCAATATCACGTAGTACAATGCAAAAATAATAAAATAAATAATGTAAATAGTAGAATGTTTAAAATGAACATTGTAAAAAATATAAAAATATATCCAAAAAATACTAAAAAAACATAATAATAAATTTTGACCTTATGCAAAAAATGTAAAAAGTAAACTTAATAAATATTTCAAAAAAAAAAAACTTAATAAATATTTCAAGAATAAACATAAAAAAAATATAAGAAGTTAGCCGTTAAAATGCTACTATATCTCAAGACATCAATGTTACATGCTACTAAAAATATGGTTAAACAAACTTGTTAAATTGTAATTTTTTTTTTAATTTAAAAACCTACTGAAAAAATTCTCAAATAGTTCAGGGAAAAATTGAAAATTTTAACCTTGACTTTTTATACCTATATAGTGTTGATAGCTAGAGTAGTATAAACCAAATATATATTACTTACTGGATGTACGTGAAACACTCTAACATTCACTTTTTAATACTTTCTTTATTATTAGTGGGAATTTATTGAATGAGTAAAATTTATGATTTTTAATAAATTTTAATTAATAATAAAAGGAGTATTACAAAGAAAATGTGTTAAAATAAAATGTTACTAACATTTTTTTCCTACTATAAGCTAGCCAAGTAGCTAGAAAGTAAAGAAATGAACGAGAATGATAAGAATCAGAATTGTTGAAACTTGGATATTGGATGATCAATTGACAAAGATAACCAAGGAAAACTATAATATTAAATATGACATATTTTATAATAATATAATATTTATCACTAAAAATTATTTTTATCAATACTATAAATACAATATATATATATATATATATATAATATAAATATAAATTATAATGACACATAATATATATTATTAAATTTTATTTAAAATCAATATTAAAATTATGTGTAATTATATATCAAATAAATTTATACCTATATTTATTATATCTATAATGACACTTTACATATTTCACTATTTTATTTCTTATAGTGAAAGGTATCTTTGATCTTGTAGGAATTTGTAACCATTATCGCCACATATTCATTTATGTGGTTATAGCAAATATCAAATTTTTATGCGCTATCTATCATTCAACTCTCATAACACTATGTGCATACACTATTTGCTCATATAGCAATAATCTCTGAAATTTTGTTTTTTTAATGAGACAACAATCCCCTTTCATGTGCCAAAATGTATGACACTAAAATAGTTGTCAATTGCGGGGGAAACTAGTTAGCCATAGATTTGGCGCATTAATTTAATTTAAATTTTATTAATGGCAGGAAAGAATATGAGTTTAAGTTCATTAAAAAGATCACAGAAGATATTTCTAGCAAGCTTAATCGATCTCCCTTGCATATTGCTGATTATCCTGTTGGTTTGAAAGCTCGGATGCAACAGATACAAAGGCTAATGGGTGTTGCATTTATTGAAAACAAAGTGACTATGCTTGGAATTCATGGAATGGGTGGTATAGGAAAATCAACCCTTGCACGTGCCATATACAATTTGATAGTAGATCAGTTTGAAGTTTCATGCTTTCTTGCTGATGTTAGAGAAAATTCATCAACAAAACATGGCCTTTTGCAGATCCAAGAGACAATGCTTTCAGAATTAATTGGAGAGAGAAATGTCAAGTTCGGAGATGTACATCAAGGAATTCCAATACTACAACAAAGACTCTGTCGAAAAAAGGTTCTTCTTGTTCTTGATGATATTGACAATAAGGAACAATTGCAAGCAACTGTTGGAGGACTTGACTGGTTTGGTTTAGGTAGCATTATTATTATAACAACAAGAGATAAGCATTTGTTAGATATTCATGGAGTTGAAAAGCTATTTGAGGTCAATGAATTGGATGATATTGAAGCTCATAAATTGTTTAGCTGGAATGCTTTCAGAAACAAAGAAGTTGATTCAAATTACAAGGAAATCATAAAGCGTGCCATATATTATGCACGTGGCCTTCCCTTGGCTTTGGAAATAATAGGCTCAAACTTGTTGGGTAAAACATCAGATGAATGGGATTCTGCATTAAAAGCATATGACAAAATTCCAAATGGAGATATTCAGAAAATTCTTAGAGTTAGCTATGATAGCTTGGATACTAATGAGAGGGAAATATTTCTTGATATAGCTTGCTTCTTCCGAGGATGCACTCTAAGACATGCTACAAATATGCTTGAGGCAAGAGGTTTTCATCCAAAATTTGGTATTAGAGTGTTGGAAGAAAAATCACTTGTTAAAATTGACAAACACGATGGAAAATTTGTGATAATGCATGACTTGATTCGATCTATGGGAAGGGAAATAGTTAGACAACAATCAAATTGGCCTCAGAAACGAAATAGGTTGTGGTTTTACGAGGACATTATTAGTGTTTTGGAGAAACAATCGGTATGAGTTATATATTTCCCTTTCCATTTCTTTTATTACATCATTAGTTGAATTTGTACAATATTTTATGGTCATTTACCTTTGCTAATAAGAACCGACACAACAATTATATTCTTTAAGTTTTAATTTTTGTGGTTCCTTTGTGGTTTTGGCTTAAAAGGAAAATGATGAAATTGAAGCGATGATGTTGGACATGCCAAATGATGATCAAGAAGTGCAATGCAATCAAAAGGTGTTTAGAAAAATGAAAAACTTACAAATGTTGCTTATAAAAAAGAATGTTGCCTTTTTTAGATGTCCTAAAGATCTTCCAATCAGTTTGAGAGTGTTGGAATGGTTGGGATACCCTGAATCTTCTTTACCAACTAATTTTTGTTCGAAGAATCTTGTCATACTCAATTTGTCATTCAGTTTCTTTCAATGGGATAAACCACTTCAGGTATGTGCTACTAGTTATAAGTAATGTAACATTTAATTACTTTTTGGTTATTAAACTCACTATAATTGAGTTTCGAAACTATTAATGTTGACTTATTAATTTGTTGAATTCAATGGTCCGCTTAGTGGTTAAGATATGAAAAAAGAGTAATTTAGGATAAAAATAAGATATGATAAGAGTAGGAATAAGAAACTAGATAGCATTATTATATACATTATGCATATAATATAAACCAAATAGACATTATATAAATTATATTCAAGTAAAAAAATTAAGTTTTTAAAATTTTAAATTAAAAATATAATTTTAACTATATAATATAAAGTTATTTTTATTTACATAGTTACTTTTCTTAAAATTATATAATATTTTTAAAATTATAATCATTTTTAATATTTTTCTAAAAAATATTTATATTTTTTTTTATTTTAATATTCTAGTCAATAATATATTTTATATTTACATGTCAAAATTATTATAACTATGTATAAAATAAAATGCTGAATAAGGTCCTTGGGAAATGATATTCATGTTTATCATTGAACTACTATTACAATTTGGTAAACTTATCAACGAGATAACATTCATCAAATCATATACTCTTACATCAAGTATTTAAATCGTACTCCCAATCAAATTATAAATACCTTTCATTTTTAGATAAAAAGGGTTTTAAATTTGTTGTAATCTTAATTAATTTAAATTTAAAATTTTAACAAATTATATAAATATAAAGATAAAAAGAAAATCATAATTTTCTCTCAATTTAAACAATTATATTTTTATTTAATATAATAAAATTTTCCAACATCGACAATTATCATTTTCTTTAATTATTTTTTATGAAATTAATTTGAATATAGATTTATCTATACAATACACATCCACATTCCACAGCTTAGCAATCTTTAAAATGTAGGCGAAATTAATCATCTCAAGCACTAATGTTGGACCAAATTAAATGTGTAGTCTTATTTTGCTTACCCCACTCAACAAAATAGTGATTGACGGTGAGAACCAAGGGTGAGTCATGTGCGTGTGATACATGCGATAATGCGAATCATGATTACATATCAAACTTTCAATTAGTGGGAACTCAATGGACCTCTTCAAAACACCACATAGCTTGCACAAGAGAACGTGTTGCTTCATTAACGATACAAATGTGCTCTCAACATTGGCTTTATAGAGAATCAATCGTTGACATTTCAACATAAAAGAATGACAACTTCGCATTAATTAATGGTTTCCGATGAAAGGTAAAAAGAATATACATTGCGAGTTTGTAGTAATGTTGAAAGCTATTGTGTGGCTTATCACACGCATACGCAAATTCCAATTTGGTAATGGTAATAATGTTGAATCACGTAACTTGGCACTTCCATGTAGTATAAATTCGTTAAATTAATTGTTTATATACACATGTAATATTTACTTGTTGCAATAAGCAAAGAAATACAACTTGTGATATTTGATATAACCCTATCTAAGAACTAGCCATGGCCTTGAATCATTTTATAACATTTCTCCTAATTGCTGCAATGGCAATTCCACATGCCAAAGCTCAGCTTGGGCTTATTAATGCTCTTCTCGGATCTGTTAATGTTCAAGGAACTGTATTTTGCACTTCCAAGGACAATATGGGTGTCAAAGGTGTAATCCCAGTTTTTTCAAGTAAGGCCACAATTCATTGCTATTTGCAAATTTGAAATTTCTGACTTTTTCTCATCCTAAGATATTTTACATATCAGCATGTTTGACTTAACTGTAGAAATAAATTATTTTAATGAATGATTGATTATATTATAATCAATATTGTTAATTGATTATTATATCCTTTCCATTCTGTAAAATTCATTTTTATATAATAAACTATGGGGAAAATATTTGAAAAAATTGACAAGGATTTCAAAACCGGACCCATTAAAAAAAGTGAAGACAATGATGCTAAGATCTAACCATAGTTAAACCATTATTAAATCAGTGAAAAATTATATTTTTTTAAAAAAAATTAACATAATATATCAAGTAAAAAAATAACATGGAATATCTAAAACTAAACATGCAAGTAACTCAAATATGTCATAACATTTAACCTCATGTCCATGGAATTGACCAATTGTGGAACAATACATAGTTTTGCATTTGACATATTGAAGGTTTGAGCTTCATTTTATCTCTTTGAGTAGGTAATGTAAATGTGAGTTTTTCAATAAGTACTTTTTGAGTAGAGTTTTTCTTATAGATCTTTGACTGAGACATATCTTCTTCCCCTAAATATTTTGTGACAAAAATAATGTCTCAACATTCAAATTTAACAAACACTTACAAGAGATAATCTTGTTGAAATCAAATAAAGGCATTGTGAGCAACAAAACTTTCCATCTAACTTGTCTATTATTATACATGCAAAATATTAAGCTTATTTATTCTTCCAAACAAACATGACTTGATATATAATGCAATATGCATATGCATATTTCAGATGCTCAAGTGCAAGTGGTTTGTGGAGGAAAAGAGATTTCTAATGCTAGAACTGATGAAAATGGAAAGTTTTCTATTATGATGGATTCTCTTGTATTGGATCTGTCTTCTCTTCTGAATGGTTGCAATATGGTGGTTGCCACTCCTCTTTCCAATTGCAACACCAACCTTCCTTCTGCTGGGGCTCTCATTTCAACCCTACAGTTTGCTGGGATCACTCGTATTGGGACTCAAACTATAACTGACATTATTCCATCAGGATTCCATTTCCTGCCCTCCACTTAATTATTCAACCATCACAAAATTATCATCATTAATTAATTAAATAAAGTCATGCCATGACTTATCAATCCCTTGTATTTTTTTACTTTCTAAATTCTACTTCATTCGCCACTGTCTCTTATACGTACCTAAATTCAAACCATTAGATTGGTATAGTGGTGAAAAGGTGAAAAATTCAAATAGTATGCCGAAAATCTTAGATTTAAATCATGTTATTGATGTAATTCTTATTATAAAAAATATATATATGTATCTAAATTGGCATTTGGATAAATGATATCACCCTTCACGATGATAAATAGCTGTTATATATATATATATTTTTTATTATTTATTTCAATTGTTTCTATATTGTTACTCCTAAAACGGTGACTGCATCACATCAACGTAACTTTATATAATCCATAACTGAAGGCAAAAAAGAAAAATCATTAATCACTGTTAGATTATTAGCCTAATTAACTATTTGAAATTATCAGACCAAATGCTGTAAATGGGCCATACTTACCATAAACTTTTTCCCCATTATAACTAAATAACAATGCATTTTTCAGTTCAATTTTTGCATAAAAACACTTTTACGTAATTAAATTAGCATTTTTTTAGTTTTTTTTTTTTTGTTGTAAAGATAGGAAAGATTACAAAAATGATCGCAATGAAGATTGAACTTAGGTCCTCATGCATCTAATTACCCAACTCCTATCCACCCAACCATAGGCTAATCCTAGTGGTTAACATTTTTTTTTAATTAAGTATAAAATATTTTACATGTCAATTAGTAAAAAAAAATATTAAATATAACTTTTAAAATAATCATTAATATAAAAGTTAATCATACATGTCAATTTATGATTAAGTGACGGTGTAAAAAGTTCTTACATTTTCAAAGCATGGACTTGTTTTAAGGTAATTCTTTACATGAATTTATCATAACTAAATCTTAAATGATAATATGAGAATTAAAACTACACAAAAATACAATGATCAAAATTTATAAATGATGAGTTAAATATTTTTTTAATTTCTATAAAATAAATAAATTTTTATTTTGATTTTTGTATTTTTTTTATCTCTCTAAAATTAATTTTTTTTATTTATTTCTATTTACTTTCATTTGACACTCGTTAACTATTCATAGGTTGGACAAAAGATCAAGTAACTGTCTTCAGTAATCACCACTAGTATTTGTGGTATTATATCATCATGTAACATCTCTGAAAAGTTTTCAAAATATCAAAAATAAATATTATTTATTTATGATAAAATTAGACACTAACAAAAGTATTTTACAAAAATTAAAACCAATTGTTTTAATAAAGACTAAAAAAAAAATTCACTCATTTGATAAATACTTTGAAATATATTTAAACCTTTTATAAATTCATATAATCTATCGAACAAATCCTCTTCTGTATTAAACTTCGTTGTATTGTATCCATATATGTTCCTTGTGTAAGTTGTGTATTAGTTCCTTAGCCAATATATATATATGCTAATTCGTGTAGG